ACCTTGAGTTCATCTAAAATGTGGACAGTATCGAGCTTCTTGGGAAGTCCACGGAGGACCATGCGTAGATTACGTTTCTCAGGGGGAGAGTACGTATGAAAGCTGACTTGTTGGGCGCGCTGGTGGTTTGTAAAACTGCTGAAATCCACAGTCGTATCTACGAAAATTCGGATACCCTGGCCAGCGATTTGAAACTTTGTACCAAGCTCACTCAACTTTCGGCGAGGGAGGTTTGTGCCTAAAACGAACACTTATATACCTACCGCGTTGGTACGCTAGGTTAGGCTAGGGAACACAAAATTTAAATACGATGGCCGACTCTGAGGCTGCGAATGTGTTTCACTCTACTTACAGTTGCCGATACCAGGAAGCCAGGAAGGAAACTTACGCACAAAACATTTTTTGCACTACAACAAGCATTCACTGCACTTCACTGTGAGACTGTTGTGGATAGTGTGCTTCGCACACCACGGAGGGGACACCAAAACAGGCACCAAGCAGTAGGTACAGCGGACTGAAGGCATAGTTTATTACAAATATAATTTGTGCACATGAGCTAAGAGAGTGGAGTGACAGGAGTGAATTTGAGCGATACGTCCGGAGTCTACAGAGACCAAGTGCAGAATAACTGAACCTGTTGAACCTGAACCATTATACTCAGCGATTGCGGTAGCAGGGCAGTGTGGCGCGGGGTGATTCGACAGCGGTATCTCGCGTGGGCACGAAACAGTGCTCGGTCAGTCACTCTAGGGTAGTGTTGTGGTTAACTGTGAGTTTATGTCAAAGAGAACTATTGTCACCTATTCTCCTCGTGACAACGGAATTGTTATTAGCTAGAGATGGCATTCATTCAATAAATCAAGGGAGAAGTAGTTCGGGCGAATTTTCTACCCTTTATTATAAAGTAGCTGTTCCCCGCGGTTTCACCCGCATCATCACGTGTCGGTGGTGCGCGACATGACCTAGTTCAAGCATTTTATAATTGCAATTAAATATTTTATTTGATAGCAATGGATGGAAAATTGGCATAATTAATGGAGTACTTTTATATGTCGGCATATTATGTATGATGTAGAGTGAAGGTAAGTTTTATCCACTTTCCCTCCCTCTCCCGGTTGAGCGTCCTCCCCCCCCACGTTCTCACCGGGCGGCTAGGGTTTATGCATCGTTCGCGCGCCCAGCCAAGTATTGAATTATTTTAATTTTACATTATCTCTTAAGCTATGCGTCCAAATAACATGGTATAAAGTACAAAGTTTATCTCCATAAAATTGTCTTGATGATGAAGTAACTTTCGTTCGTAAGGATAAATAGGCCATGCCTAATAATAACGCTCATAAATCACTTTTAAATTTTCAATATTTTTTTGTAACAAAATACCTATTTATGGCTCATGTATAAGAAATAGATATATGGTATCACGGACCTTTTTTTAGACGGAGTAAAGATCTATATTTTTCTACAGCATTGTATTTACGCATCCCTAACGATAACACCAGCGTACGCGGAAAAATCATTTCGGGAGTGCTTTTTCTTCTGACTTGCTTAACAAATATCCATATTTAAGGCTAGCTTAGTGATATATCTTAATGCTAGATAGCCTATACTATTCCACATGAATCTGGCTGTAATATACAAAAAGAACTTTTCAAATGGGACTGGTAGTTCCAGAGATTAGCGCGTTTAAACAAACAAAAAAACAAAAAAACTCTTCCGCTTTATTATTTACGTAGTAGAGCCATGCTGCAGCTATATATTAGTAGTATAGTTGTAGCACGAATGGGTCGTCTCCACCGGCGAAGGACCACGCTCTCACAGAATACCCGCGGAAAATAGTAACTTAATGCTGCTGTGTTTCGTATGGTAAGTGTAGAGAACCGGAGACCCTTTTTACTGGAAACGAGGCATTCCACCTTAGTCCTCATGGGTGACAACGCATCTGCATTTTGATTCGTAATCGAAGATAGATGTAGACATCTATGGGCCACAGCAACCACTTACCATCAGGTGGACTGTGTGCTCGTTAAACAAACAAACAAAAAGTTATACAAACTTTGTCACCCTATCCTATAAAAAAAATTATAACTATACGAGAATAAGAATGAGTAAATATAGACAGATTTGATTATAATTTAGAGAAAATTTGATGCAATTTAAAATCTGTTATCGTTGGAAATCGTTATCAACTTCCGTTATTAAAATTTAAATAAAAATACAACCCATTATACTGTAGCCAGCGGTGAAATCAAAATAGTTTGTTCCTATTGCCATCGCCTCACCACCACATCGCTCGATCGCCCCGCACCGCTCTTGCCTGTTTCGTGCGCGGCGCTATATTAAAGTATAGTCGCATCGCGCCGCCCCGGAACCGCCGTTGCTCGGCTATCACTAATTTCGTGACCGCAGCCTTAGATTCGTCTCGGTTGTGGAAACGATAGGGTAAGAAATGTTTTTCGTTTCAGTGAAAGTTTTTACTCAGTTGGGTTTTATATACTGTTTAACCATTATTTATTTGTTGTTTGCTTGTTCATTAATATGGTATTATGCATTAACCGCTAACAATTAAATAAAACTAAATTGTTGACCCGACGTTTCGTGTGCTTTACAGCACCCTTGATCATGCGGAGATACTGCAGCCATCGGAATTAGAAAAAGATAAGAAAGTTCAATCAAATTCAATTAAATCGGTAAATTAGTTTCATTTCGCGTGATATACGTGACCATCTTAAAAATTTGACGTTCATTGTGTGGACAGCCACTAACTTAAAAAAAAAATTACAGGTTTATAGTCCAATTTTAATTTTAGTATTTTATTATGCGAGCGATGATTACCTTAAGTGAATGTCCTTGATTCTTGCTAAGCCGTAGCCGTAAGCATTAAGATTTTTATTGATGTAACAAACTTTGGTAGTCTAATTAAATAAATAAATGTTTTAAACTAACCTAAAAATCAAGATTATATTACAACCAGTGCGAGTTGCCAGTGATAATTTATGGATCTGAGATTTGATTTTTTACTGCTGGCCGCATGAGGAAGCTCAAGGTCGCTCCACGAGCTATGGAGAGAGAGTTCGAGGTTTCTCTGCGTAATAGATTTATAAATGAGGATACCTGGAGTAGAATCAAGGTAACTGATATAGCCTAACGGATTAGTAAGCTGAAGTAGCAATGAGCCGGCCATATAGCTCAAAGAATAGACAACTGATTGGAAAGAAAGATTCTCGAGTTGCACTCTCGTACCGGTAAGCGAAGTGTATGGGTCCATCTAGTAGGGCCCACCCCACTAGATGGTCTGACGACCTGGTAATATTTGCGGGAAATCGATGGAGGCAGGTGGCTCGGAGCCATGCTTTGTTGCATTCCTTGGTCTGTAACGATGACGATGACTGTCAAGAACTTCGCAGAAAGTTAAGACACTCTATGGGGAAGGACTATGTTCAGCAGTAGACCTTTGATAGGCCGTATTTAATGAATAAATCATTCATTCAATGAAATACAGCAGAAAATATATGCTCCCTTTCAGTTGCCAACAGTAGCAATTTATAAGAAAATAATATCAATCCGAGATTATGGCGCCAGACGTGAAATTGCCTTGTGATAAAATTGATTGATTCAACCTTAAATTTTACTTATAAAACTTTCATTCTTAAATTTAATGGAATCTTCAGTAAAATTTCTTTTGTATAAAGAATGTTTAATCACACTTTTGCACACATTAGTGGAATATGGAACCCTCATGAAGTACAAAATATTTAATCAAAATAGTATTAACAAGATCAGTTCTAATTCGACGTGCATATCGAGTAGTATTATGCATACGAAAAATAGAACATACAGTAGAATTAAGAACCTCCTTATATTTTTTTTTTTATTTGACGTCGACGATATATTGCTCAATTAGTTTACTTTAAAATTTTAGAAACTTAAGCAAACAACATTAATTATCAAATAACTTAACATATTCCCATAAATATGAAAAAAACGAACTTATAACGAACGAACGAACGAACACCTTTGGAAAATGAGATTTAGGATCAAAGGAACACAAACACGGAACTTCTCCTTACTTATTTCTGTTAATTTAATAATCAACTTAAGCTCCCAGATACTTATTTCGTTAAAAAAGATCTTGATTCACAAAACTTGCAAGCACGGAGCAAATACAAAGAGGAGACGGCCTAAGGAACTGTGCACTGTGATTCGAACTAGGTCCTAACGTCATCACATTAGGTGTGGCTTTAACGTTAGTATTCTATCAGGGTTCGTCGTATGCGCTTATGTGTCGAAAATCGCAAATTGGTGTATTTTTGTGGTATTAAGAAGAAAAGGATGAAATGTTGTGTTTTATCTTGTAAAAACTACTCCGATAGACGCTCTGAAGCTATGGATGTCGTCACATTTCATTTGTAAGTAATGTTATACCTAATTTATTAAAATAGTTTTAGAAAAACCTCTACGTCGGCTTTCAAACATATTTAAATATAGTCGACACTACATGGCGACACTTTGTGTCATGGGAACTAAAATCCCCCTATCGAAATATTAATCAAAATAAATACTGATATTGCACTACCGTATAGCGTCAAAACTAAAATACACAACTTTAGGAAAGCCGATTATGCTCAGATCCGCCTTTGTTTAGCCGAATGCGATTGGGATGAAATTTTTCATGACATGAGTGTTAATGAAATGACGAACTTATTTTATGATATAATTAATAATTTAATAAACAAATATGTGCCATACAAAAAAATAAGAAATAATTCTTCTCCTCCTTGGTTTAATGTTTCATTAAAGAGAATTATACGTGAAAAGGAGAACATAAGAAAGCGGTATAATAAATATAAGAATCCCATGGACGAGGTGGAGCTGCGGCTACTTAGTAAGCGTTGCTGCACACTAGCAAATAAAACTTATAAAAATTTATTAAGTCAAATCCTAAAGTTTTTTGGTCATTTATCAAAGCTAGGAAGAGCGGGAAAAGTAATTATGCTTGTACAATGACTGATGGTAATAAGAAGTCATCTAGTCCTGGGGAAATCTGCGACTTATTTGCATCCTATGTTGGTGCTGTGTATAATGCTCAACATGACATAAACTCAGAGTTGAATGTCAACAAATGGAATTTGATTTGCAATTACAGCCTCGAACTTACTGCTCCCTACCTTAACATGGATCAGATACTGAATATCATGAAGTCCGTAGACGATAACAAGGGCTCAGGGCCAGATGGTGTCCCTTCTTTATTCATGAAAGCATGTGCGGATGAGCTAGTGACGCCTATATATCTAATTTTTAAGAAGTCTCTTCAATCCGGCCTGTTTCCAGATGTTTGGAAGTCCGCTAAAGTTGTTCCCATTCACAAGGCTGATAACGTCGAAGTTGTTGGTAATAATAGGCCTATTTCAATTCCGTCAACTTTATGTAAAATCTTTGAATCTCTTGTCTATCCTGTGCTGCAGAAACATATGAATCATTATCTTACTGAGTGGCAGCACGGTTTTGTTAGGTTTAGGTCAACCTGTACTAATCTGACTTTGTTTACTGAAACTTTGGTAGAAGCAGTAGATGACGGTAGGGATGTTGATGTAATATATACGGACCTTAGTAAAGCATTCGACAAAGTACCTCATAATATTCTTATATCTAAAATGCGCGCATATGGTATTACTGGCTCATTATTGGGATGGTTAGAATCGTATCTAGATAATCGTAGTTTTAGCGTGGTCGTTAATGGATTTAAGTCTGCGCCATACAAAATTACGTCAGGGGTTCCTCAAGGATCATATTTGGGTCCTCTGCTTTTCAATACCTTCATCAATGACATCCCTAGGTGCTTTCAGTACTCTATACCATTTATGTATGCCGATGATTTGAAATTGGTTGGCATTTGCGAAACTCTGGAGGACATCGAACGGTTTCAAAGTGATGTTGATCGTATGGTTAATTGGTGTCGAGAGAATGGTATGAACCTGAACATAAACAAGTGCTACCATATGAAATTCATTAAAAAGATCAAGTCACTGAATTCATCATATAAAATTAACGGCGTCATCATTAAGAAAACAGAAGAAGTTAGAGACCTGGGAATAGTGTTCGATAAAAAATTAACCTTCGTTCCCCACATATAGAATATTACAAAAAAGGCGTATAGAATGCTATGCTTTGTTTTGCGTAACGCTAAAGTGTTTAAAAATAATCACGTTAAGATCCTACTGTACAACAGTCTCGTACGAAGCATAATTGAGTATTGCAGTGTAGTATGGAGGCCACACTACGCGACACACTCCTTACGATTGGAACGTCTACAAAAAAAGTTCGTAGCTAATTTGGCCTATCGTAATGGGATTCACAAAAAAATTCGGTCTTACGAAAAACGATTAAGATTCTTTAAAATTTTATCCCTGGAAAATCGGAGAAACTTGCTTGACATGTCATTTCTTATTAAAATTTTTAACCAGAAAATTAACTGTCCCAACTTGCTCCAAAAATTTATATTTCGTGTTCCATTGAGAATTCCTCGCGCTCCCATTACTCCACTTTGCCCTCCTTTTAGGAAATCTGTCTTAGGTGCAAACTCCCTAATTCCAAGTTTGTGCAAATTGGTCAATGGACATAGTAACTTAGTTGACATTCACGCCGACTCATTTGCCAAAATTAAGAAAGTTCTAGCTTCAGCCTGGTCTGAAACCAACAAATAAATTATAGTTTTTTTTTACCATATACTTATTTTCAATATTAGGTAATTATACTTCTTTTTATTCGTATTTATAATCTTTCTCGATGCATGTGGTGTTTACCTTAAACGATTGTTACATTTAGTCACATAAGTTAGTTCTTAAGCCATTTTGTTAAATTAAGGTTTACCAATATAATCAAACATTCGTAAACCTTAATAAATAAAATAAAAAAATAAATAAAATAAAATAAAAATTATATATGTACTTAGAGCTCATTATTGTTAAGATAATCATAGGATGGTTCTAAAATTTGTTTTGCATTCAGTCCTAAAGAATTTTTAATCGCGAAAATATTATTATTACAGTTTTTATAATAATTTTGTGAACAGGCCGCCATCTATCGTCAAGGTAGCTAAACTACATTACAACATCGATATGGAAAGATGCGAGTAGCTTTACTATTTATCAGTAGGTAGAAATAGTTAAGTGGGCGGGCCTTAACATCCCCTCACCCTGAAAATTGTCACGCGTTGTTACATAGTGAAATCTAATTACAACACCTCCTCTATGTATTTGCTTCATGCTTACAAGCCATGAAGTTATGAAAATAAATAAAATACTATGTGGCTATGGCTCGGAGTGCGGCTTTGGCCTATTTAGTTAAATACAAGGCTGCTAAAACAACCGAAAAATTCGCCATTTTAGAGCCGAAAAAATTGAATAAAAATAAACAAAACAAAATTTAATTGCCGTTTACATTCAATGGTTTTCCACATGATAGCTGAAGAGTTTTAAAATAGATTGAGTTGAACAATTGATATTTTCAAAAGTTATCGTGTTTATGCCATTAAAACCCCTTTTTTAAGTAAAAATAGCAATTAATAGATTAATAAGTTCAACAATCATTTATCTTTCTTAAAATGTGCTTTTTATATCATTTATATGTATAATATGATTGCTAGATACAATTTCATGCGACAAAACGTTGGAATCTTAATTTTTAGGCCCTAGCAGAACATACCTGCGCGCTTCGCGCTTAAGGCTTGCAATATATATTTATGTATGCATTATATGTATGTATGCAATCTCTGCCACTTCAAAATATATTAGCATTAAGTGATTTTCTTTCCAAGCACATAAGAAAAAAAAATTGTTTTGCAATATATCAAAAGTGAATAGAGAGGAAGAGTTTTGTAAAACAAACTTAAGGGGCTACTCCATGCGAACGACCTTGAGCATTTGCCGGCGGCGCGCCGCTTGCTTCAATATATTGCTTAATATGAAATATGTAACACGCCACCTATTGTAGGTAAAAGAACGTAGTATTATTTTTTCAACATCAATAAACTAATTTATGGAAATACACACAGCGTACAACGATAAATGTATTTTAATTTTTTTATTTGGTATATTAGTTGCATTATATTAGAATTATGTATTTTCATATATTATCTAATTATGAAATTTTATAATTAATTATATATTAAAAATGAAGCATTGAAAATTGTCAGTTTAAAAGATACCTATTCACTATAGGTAAATAAATAGATAGCTCGCCTTTTGTTCAAATATTTGGTGCAATAAGGAATAAATAAATAAATAGGATGTTTCGTAGATGTGTTTTTGATTATTGTTAATTTTTACGTGTCACGTATTGAAAAGTAACATATCCTACCTACAAATTTTTGAACTGAGCACCTTGTAACTTAGCCTGCTTATTACTTATGCTGGCAGACATTATCCTCGCCCCAATGATTGATGAGGATGAAAATCAATTTTATTTCTACATACGTAATTATATTTATTTATACATAAGGGTAACTTTAATAAAGGTAATACAAAAATCAACAAGAAGTATAAGGGTTCAATCTTTCAATGATTGATGAGGTTATAGCTAAAGTGACCATACGTCCCGTTTTGAACGGGACTGTCCCTTTTCTCGGTCACCTGTCCCATTGTCCCCAAACAAAGCTCCGGAACACAAAATTGTCCCGTAACTCGTTGGATGGAATTATTCAAAGTCAACAATCTTCAACATAATTTTTTTTAATCGAATATATTTTATGTCCACCTGGTACGAATGCTCGGGTAGAAAGAGTATTTTTTTATTTTGAATAAATTGTGACGTCTGAAAGAAACACTTACGGTTCCAGAGTTCTAAAGGCGATGTTGTTAACAAAGATAACAATAAAAAAACTTGAGCAGAATTTTATTTTTATTTAAAATCATCACCTTTATTTTACTTTATTCACCAAATCATTAAAGCAAATTTAATCCACTGACAAATGTAATTAATAATTAAAAAAAATATGTTGCATTTAATAATTATCGTCTATACCGAATATAATTTTACAGTGAACACTAATTGTATAAAGTTATAGTTTTTAGAGTATAAATAAACCCATGTCCTGGTTTGAGTTAAAAAATAAATGGTCAGTTTAGTCTTTTTAGTTAAAATTAGTTTTAAAAATTATTAGTTAATAGTTAAAAGTAGGTATATTAGTACCTACTTAGATACTTTTTACCGAATTATAAGTATAGAACACCTTATGTACTCGATTATTTTTTGAAAAATAAGAAAAAACAAACAATAAATAATATACTATATTTTAGCAAAAAACTATAACTTAGTAATACTAATTATAACTTAGAACATAAATGAAAAACTCATAACTGACTTTTTGGCCCGACCCAGGATTCGAACCTGGGACCTCATGATCAGCAGTCGCACTACTACAACCACTAGACCAACGAGGCAGTACTATACTTAATAAGATATTATGGTTGGGTGATAATATTGAATTAGCCTTTTATAGTGTAAATTATAATATTTGTCGAAATTTTAATTATGGATTCGAACCTTACATGCTAATGGTGCTTCATTTTTTTATTTGCATTTACTTCAAAGAAAATACACGCAAAAAGCTTCATCGCGCAGTAAAAAACACAACAAATATATGTATAACTAATACGAAAAATTATACCCAAAACAAACAAATAATATTACCTATAAATAACCTAATAAGTAATATTATTATCGACTGATATGACGTGAGTGTATGCGCTGGTCGACGCTCTAACGACACGGGCTTCACGTCGAAGAGCTCAGGGCTCACTGACTTCACCAAGCCCGTGAGCAGTGAATATGCCCAGATTTTAAAATAATTTCTTAATAAAATCAAATTTTGGTCTTTTGAAAAAAAAAAATTACTATAGAAATGTTCATTAATAAATTGCCTATCCATTGGTGTAAATCGCAAAATAAAATAATACTTACTTTACGAGGAGATGCATGTTATCAATAATAATTTCACATTTATGTGGTTTCGTTGTAAGGAGATTATATTAATATTTATTTCTTTAAAAAAAATTGGATATAGCTTTTATGGAATCAAGATTATGTAGAAATATAATGTGTTTTTTATTTGTTGATATATCTTTTAAATAAAAAGGAGATAGCTCCTAAAAACCGCACAAATAACGACTAGCGCGACATTTTGCTCAACCTGCGCCTTAAGTGTGGAGATTGTATCGCAGTTTTACATTCTCAGCATAATGATGTAAAATCGTTAATCTATTTTTTAATATCTTTATAAAGATATAAGATGTTAAATTTACCCATCAAAAGACGTGATGGTTGTATTAACGGTGGTAGAGCCTTGCAGCAGCTTTTGCTGTTGCACGTAGGGGCCGGCTCGAGCCGGGTTAGTACCACGACCTCACAGAATACCGGCGTGAAGTGGAAGCTCTGCTTCCGCGTTTCGTCTGGTGAGTGCAGGTGACCGGATGCCCAATTCCCCCCCCCCTGTTACGGCCTACGGTTGCTCCCTTAAAGGATCCAATCCCCCGGGGCCCATCAGCAGAAGACTTCCCGAGCAAACGTAGGTCGGGCCTCCTAAGGCCACGTGGAATCTCTCTAATTACACTAAAATATATGGGGGAGCGTTATACTACGGCCAGTCGACCGGAAGGAATTTGGCGGAGTTCACTTACCTCTATCCAAGGCGACTGGTCCCTCCGGAGTCGGTCAGGTCGCATGTGGTTGTGTAGTGCAAGGGAAAGAATGGTGATGTGGTGTGTATCGGGGTGTGACTGATGGTGATTGAATCTAGACCTTAGCCGTCGGCAGCAGCCCGAGCGTCGACACCGCTCCAACTTGAGGGGGCCTTTCGAGGTTATCCACAGTCACTTTCTGGGTTCACCACGATGACAGTCACTTAACTCTATCGTACTATTAACTAGCTTACCGAAGCCACTAACTATCGCGGGGTATAAGGTTACCGCACAAAACACGCCCGGAGTTTCTGGGTCAAAGGTCACTACCGGTTCGCGTGGCAACAGATAGTTCTAAATACGGAGGCCGCACTAGCTTATATTGTCGAATGCACTTATACAGATTCTGAGTCGGACCCAATAAGTCCCGGGAAAGGCTATCCAAACAGGGAATGCGCGTTATAATTCCTAGACAGGATATTTACTAGACGCCCTAACTATTCCGCGGTTCCCGCACAAAATTAACAGCGTGCAAACATTAGCGCATTTGGCCGATGACTGACTCGCTTGCGACCCGCGCGCCACTGCCACGCTCGGAAGAACTTCAGACCGGAATCGCGCCGAGCCGAGTGACATCTGGTGTCGATTCCGACAACAGAGTTTTGCGCGAACAAACCCCCGTCCCGGACATAAGGATTTAGGTCCGCGAGCAAACCGGTCAGCGGGACAAGGTCGAGACTGCAAGTTGCAAGACCGAATCTACAACCAAACTAGGCCACCTTAGGCAATCCATTAGGTCTTGCAACCCTAATCAACGCCTCAAAGATATCCCTAATGTGGCAAGCCGGAGGGTCAGCCTCCACTGGATGCCCCTCCTGGGCATCGCAGCACTTTAATAAGTCCTGTACTGGACAGAAGTCCGACGACCTCTTTCAAACACCATCTGTGCCCCTATGATTAGTTCCGCAATCCGACCGGATCAGCTCTGCAAACAGCGACGCTACACGAAGCTGCCCCGACAAATTTTG